ATCGCTATCACTTGACTTAAAATATTTTTGCCCTTCCTTGCCTTTAAAGGAGTGTCCTTTGCCGTGCTGATGTTGCTACATGCCTTACTTCTTGCCTATCTCACACTGAGAATTTTTTCTAAGTTCTATACTAAACATTACATCTGTTACGAAACAAAATGAACACAAAACGATCAGCTTTAAAAAAGGACTCGTAACTGGAAAAACCGAATGAAAAAAGAATGTTAACAACAAATACTTTTTCACATCCAACCCAGTTCTGCGGAATCAGAATCAACGTTGGAATTTAAGCAAGCGAATGAGCCAAGTGGAGTAAAGTGCTATGCAGATTTAAATTTTTCCCACTTGTGACGAATGCAGCTATCGATTTATTTTGCATGCTAGCATGCTAGTTAACATTCGTGTCAGTCAGCTGTTGGCTCTCACGCTGGCCAATAGAATCTTCCTGCTTATTCGTGGCAGCCAGCTATAGGCTCTCACTCTGGTCAGTAGAAAATGGCCGCAAACTACATGAAAACTGTCGTAGAAGCATGAAAATATCGATTATTTCCACTATCGATGGGAGTTGGGAAATGCAAAGTCGGTCTTTGCCTTCTCGCTAATTTGGAGCATGTGCATGTAAATTTTGGTGCAAATCCCTCGAAAATTGCGGCCGTGCATTCTTTACACACACACACACACACACACACACATCCTGCCTTTTATAGAGATATCTCAGTTTAATTTTGGATGAAAATAATGGCGCATCCAGCAAAAACTGTAACATTAAATTATCAAAAAGAATAAACAGTAGAGACAATCGACTGATATTGCATAGTGGATATAGGCACTGGTTAAGTGTTCTTGTTTGCTAATAGTGGCGAGTTCGGTCTCTGTTTGTGATATCCATATACAGGTTGCGATGGATAAATTGTCGTCTAAATGTTGCTAAAATGAAAATAACACTGACATCTTATTTTGACAGATATATTTAACAGAATTACCTAAAAATATCTTGAAATACTAAAGAGTAAATTTATTCAATACAATCTCCATTGTCTTCAACGACGTCTTTCGGAATCTCCTGCAACACTTCTGGACGGTCTCCTTGTTAAATTTAGTGAATGCTGCCATAATCCTTGCCTTCGGTTCATGTTTGATGTTACAAGGTGTTTTGTTGGTCTCTCGCTCAACTGCACCCCCAAGAGTTAGGTGGACAGATGTAAGGGGTGATCTAGTAGCAGAAATTGTCTGATAGTCATGACTGGATTCTCCGGCTTGTGTGAAAGAAAAGAAAAGAAAAATTTCCCTCCACCAAGATTCGTAGCTATGTCGCCATCTGATCCTGTATGCTTTGACCGCTCGGCCCAATCAAGCAAAATACTCTTTTGCGCTTAAAGCACAAAAATGAATCTATTTTACTTGTTAGCAAAATCCATTATATTTTTAGCAATATATATTTATTGTTATTGTTACGTTTTGTTGAGTTCATGTGTCCAATCGTAATTTCTTAATTTGTTTATTATTTACTTTCTTTTTTATTTAGATATTTTTTCGGAGTTTCGTTGTTTTATTTCTTTAGTTTAAAGTATTGCCTTTTTCTAAAGTATATTACATGATCTGTGTCGTATATCGTGCATAATATTTGCATTTTCCATTATGGTATTTTTTGTTTTTAATTTTCGATTTTTAAATAATGTAGTAAAAGTAGTACTGATCGTTTATTTAGTAGTTTGTTTTGGTCTGCTAAGGTAATTATGGCTATTTTCTCCTCCAGGCAGAGTTTACAGATTTTTAATTTATTTTTGGAGGCTTATGCTGTTATCTTTATTCTCCATGATATCGTTGGTGTAATTAGGGTATTGTTTATAATTTCCCATATAAGTTTAGAGAGCGTTGTACTGTTCGTCTATTTATCATTTGTAAAGAATGTTTTGTATTCCTAGTTTCTTTGTTTCCAGGTTTCTTCAGTACTCCAGTGTAGATTTTTCTTCATAATCTGCTTATTTTTAAACCGGCTTGGTATATTATATCGTTTTGCAAGCAACTGCTATTGAAGGGGCATTCGTTCTTTGGTGTTGCCTTATTGTGCAAACCAACAGGGAAAAGTTTTGTCAGGATCAATTACCGTAATTTCCCATGTATAATATGCAGTTTTATCTAAAAAAATAATAAGCAAAATTAGGGGTGCGTATTATGCACAACTACAAAACAAACATTAAAAATTGCCGTTATGTAGGTCGATTTCAGTTGCGAAATGACTACTCACCACAAATATACGACAATATAACATTAACATTTGGCGATTATGACCCCATAAGTATATGGGCGATTGTGACCCCATATGGACCTAACAATACTTACAAATGTAAAATAAAATAAGAATTATCATAAAAGTAAATTAGAATAATATTATTCTATGTTTAAAACCATTTTTTTTAAATAAGAGTAGGAAACGCTGGCCGTAATGAAATTGGAGAGGTACAATTTACAGTGTTTGATTACCAAACAAGGGATGCGTATTATGCGTGAGTAGAAGCATTTTCCCCCACTTTCAGTACAATTTTAGGGGTGCGTGTTATAGATGAGGACGTATTAAGGTGACAAAAAAGCGAGAAATCCTAAATTTCTCTACCAGGATATGAGCGTGGTTCAGGCTATATATCGAAGGGACACTAGAAAGTTCGGTCTTTGAAAGGTCTTGTGTTGAATTCTGTTCGATGTCTAGCCATCCTCCTCACCAGAAAAAAAGACTGGCGACGGAACCGGTTTAATCTACTCTGACTCGACTATGCGGCAGATATTACTGCGATAAAGGGTATCAGTAGCCCTCATAGCGGGACGTAACATGTTGAAGATCGATTATATTAGTATGTCTTATTTGGGGTCAGAGACAAGACCGGAGAGTACTACCCTGGACTCCCGCACTGACCGATTCTGTTTGAGGACCGTGGGCAGCATCTTTTCACCCTCACTATCTCATAAACCTTTACATTTTTACTACCGATATTTGTATACGTTAGAAATTCAACTAATGAGAACAGATTATTAAAGGATTCTGAGTTTTTTTTTTTTTTGTCCAAATGCGTGAATTTGTTTAGCTCTATATATCCTGATCTAATTTATATTATTAGCATTATTCGTACTGTTATCCTCATTTTATTGCCATATTAACAACGTTTCAGTCGCTGTACGCTCGGGCCTTCTTCAGGTGATTGGAACTTTGAACCGAACCCTTTATTTCCAATACCATTCACCTGAAGAAGGCCGGTGCGTATAACGGCTGAAACGTTGTGAATATAGCAATGAAGATGAGGATAACAGTCCGAATAATATAAATAATGCAAGTAATCATAATACCTCATCTCAGAGATATAGACAGATATATAGAGAGGCATTCAATTTCGGCATTTTTGTAAAATTTCCTTAGTTTAACATAAAGACAAAATAATAAAAACACAGTAAGCCTTTTCTTATTTCAACACTTTATTATTGTTTACTCAAGAGCCACTCAATGTAGAGGTTTATAAAAGAGGTTGTTGTAAGGGCATACGACAAGAAGCAAGTGGTTCGTGTTATGAAGATATGTAGAATAGATAAAAGTTGTAATGATCAATAAAGTATCCTCTCGGGAGTCGGTTCCATGATGCAGTAATTTTAAAAAAAGAAGCGCTCTGAGTAGAACTTCCTCCTTACTTATGGAATATGAGGGAAATGAGGATGATTAAACATGGTGTACTTGGCTCGGCTGGTCCTGGCTGTTAATGACTCGACTGGAGGAATCCAAGATTGTTGTTCGATTATTGGGAAAAGCAATAGTGTAGCGAATGTCTGTTCTTAGATATTTTCAAAATTTTGCAAAGTCCACTTGAGTCCATTTTTAGGTTCAAACTGACTTTATTAAGAGTCTGTGAGAGAATCTTGTTGTCTGACCGAAAATGAAAATTAGAAAAAAAATATATAGTTCATCTTTTCTGATATGAAGACTAGAAAAAAATTATGAAAAGAATTTTGTATTTCCCATGGTGTATTTTATCAATTTTCGTTTTTATTTGTTGTTTTAAATTTCCTTTTCTCTTTGACAGATTTCGATGGTGCTATTAAAAATTCTTATCAGTTCTCAATCTTCAAACAGTGAAAATATAAAAAGAATTTACAAATGCCAAAATATGAAAATATTTTTTTTTATTCCCAAAATGACAAAATATTTCTTTTTTTGGCTTCTTTTAACCTTTCCTCTCTTTTTAATAGTTTTTGTTTGTTTATTTAAAAAGTAGCGAATTTTCTTCATAGACTAATTGTCGTCTTGTATCGGATCTTCGTGGACTTCGAATAAATCTATTCCGAGAATGTTTTGACAAAGAAAGCCTCACAATGAATAGAAAAAGGAAGTGAAAGCGACACACGTAAGAGAAGGAAAACAAATGAAATCTGTTTGAAGGAAGGTAGAATAATTTTCAGATTTTTTGGACGTCTTCTTTCTTTTTCTTTTTCACACATTTTCCCGCCTTTTTTTGTTGATTGCGGCCATAGTTCAGTTTTTCTCCCGATAAATATTATTCTCACCGATTTTCTCTGACACTGAGTAAAGGTTTCATTTGCTCTTTTCCTTCGTATTTTCATCCCCCCCCCGTTTATTAAACATTTACTTACCATTGTTTGTTTTTACTGTCTTTTTTTTAGGTTGTCTTTTCGTTACTCCCCCTTTCTTTTTTTTTATAATTTTTCATTTTTCCTATATTTCATTTATTTACTTCCATCGTTGTCTCTTTTACACATTTCCTTTTTACCATTTTCTTTGTTTCTTTCGTTCTTTCTTTCTTTTGCCTTATCTAGAGAATCTTTTTTTATTTCCATCATTTTTTAAATTCACTCTTTTTTGTTTCCTTGTTTCCTTTCTTTCATTTTCCTTTTTTCTTTCTTACTGCTTTCATTTCTAAAATTCATTCTTTTTCATTCTTTCTTACCTTCATTTCTTTCATTCTTTTTCCTTTCTTTCTTTCTTTCCTTTACTTAACTTAATGAACATTTTTTCCTTTATTTTTTTGTTCCTTTCGTTTTTCTCTCTTTTGCCTTACTTGGAGAATGTTTTCATTTTTCCTTTCTTTCTTTCCATTATTTCTTTCATTCTTTCTTTTTTTCTTTCTTTCTTTCCTTTCTTTCTTTCTTTCATTCTTTTTTTTCCTTTCTTTCTTTCCTTCATTTCTTTCATTCTTTCTTTTTCATTTCTTTCTTTCCTTCATTTCTTTCATTCTTTCTTTCTTTATTTCCTTTCTTTCTTTCATTCCTTCTTTTTCTTTTCATTATTTTCTTCATTTCTTTCATTCTTTCTTTTTTCCTTTCTTTCTTTCTTTCCTTTATTTCTTTCATTCTTTCTTTTTCTTTTCATCCTTTTCTTCATTTCTTTCATTCTTTCTTTTTTTTCTTACATTCATTTCTTTCATTCTTTCTTTTTCCTTTCTTTCTTTCCTTTCTTTCTTTCATTCTTTCTTTTTTCTTTCTTTCTTTCCTTCATTTCTTTCATTGAATCTTTTTTTATTTCTTCCTTTCATTTATTTCTTTGTTTTCTTTTTTTTTTTTTTTCTTTTTCCTTTAACTCATTTGAATTTTTTTTTTTCTTTCCTTTAATTTTTTTGTTCATTTCGTTTTTTTTTTTATTTATTGGGAATTTTTTTTTGATTTACTTCATTTCTTTTTCATTTTTTTTTTTTTTTTTTTTTCATTTTTTTCATTTTTCTTCATTTTTTTTTTTTTCTTTCATTTCTTTCATTCTTTTTTTATATTTTTTTTTTTTATTTAATTATATTTTCATTATATTTTTTTTTTTTTATTATTTTATTTTTTTTTTCTTTCTTTCTTTTTTCTTATTTCTTATTTTTTTTCTTTTTTTTTTATATCTTTCAATTTTCTTTCTTTTCTTTCCTTCATTTTCTTTCTTTAAATTTTTCTTTTTTTTTCCTTTACCTATCAAATGAATTTTTTTTTTTTTTTTTTTCTTTTTTTGTTTGTTTAAAAAAAAACCAGATATTTCCTTTGATTCTATTTTTTTTTCCATTTAATTTTTTTTTTAAAAGATTTAAAAATTTCCTTATATTTTCTTCTTTTTTCTTTTTTCTTGTTTATTTTTCTCTTTTCTTTTTTTTTATTTTTTTGTTTAATTAAATTTTCTTATTTTTTAATTTTCATTTCATCAAAAAATTTAATTTTAATTTTTTTTTTAATTTTTTTTCTAACTTTTTTTCTTTCTTTCTTTAAATTTCTTTCTTTCTTTTTTCTTTTATTTTTTTTTTGAATTCACTTAAAATTCATGTCCTTTTTTTTTAAATTTTTTCTTTCCTTTGAATGTTTTTTCTTTTTTTTTTCTTTCTAAAACTTTTCTCTTTTTTTTTTTTTTTCTTTTTTTTTTTTTATTAAGTTATTCTTTTGAAAAAAATTTCATTTGAAAAATTAATTTAATAACAACTCTAAATTTTTTTTTTTAATTCATATCAAATATTTTCTTTTCAAAATTTTCTTTCTTTCTTATTTGTCTGAATTTAATGAAATCTTTTTTTATCTTCTTTTTTTTATTCATTTTTTAATTTTTTTTTTATGAATTTTGTTTCTTCTGAAGAAATCTTGATTCATATAAATAAAAAAATTTTTTTGTTTATTTTTCTTTTTTTTTTCTTTCTTTTTTTTTTTTTAATTTTTTCTTATTTGCCCCACTTTAATAATCTTCTTAAAGCATTCTTTTCAAATTTTTTTTGTTTCATTTAATTTATTGTCCTTTCTTTATTCTTTCTTGTTTCATTTCTTTTTTTTTGACAAATTTCATTCATGGTCCTTATTTATTCCCTTCTTTCTTTCTTATTTGCCTTACTTTAATGATCTTCTTTCCATCTTCCTTTCAAATTTTTCTTTCTTTCTTTCTTTCATTCATTGTCTTTCTTTTTACAAAAAAAAATTTTAATTTTTTTTTTATAATTCTTTTCAATAAGTTTTTATTTCTTTTTCATCGTTTCATTCATTGATCTTTTTAAACCTTTATTTTTATTCATTTGCAAGAAATTTTTATTCATTTTTCTTTTATTTATTTATTTATTTATTTATTAAATTCTTTTTTTTTCTAATTCATTTGCCTGGTAAATTATTCTTTCTTTACAAATTTTCAAATTTTTTCTTCATTTTTCTTTTCATTCATTGTCTTTTTCTTTTTTTATTTTTTTTTTCTTTTCTTTTTTCATTTGAATTACGTTAAACTGAATGAAAATATATTCCTTTCAATAAAATTTTCTTTTTTTTTCTCCGTTCCATTTATTGTGTAATAATTTTTTTTTTTTTTTTAAATATAATCTTAATTTTTATTTATATTAATATTTGAATCATTTTATTTTAATTTTCTTTTTCTTTCCTTTTTTTCCTTCGTTCTTTCAAAATTAAACATTTCGTCCCTTTAATTTTTTATTACTCTCAATTTTAATAATATATATCTTCCTTTATTTCATATTTTCTTTTTTATTTCATTTTTTTTTTAAAAAATTTCTTATTTTTTAATATTTATTTAATCTTCTAAATGTTTTATTTCATATATTTTAATTTTTTTTTTTTTTAATTTTTTTTTTTTTATATTTTTTTCCTTCCTTTTTGTCACTGAATCTTCAACACTTTTCTTCTTTTTTTTAAAAACATGATTAATGGCAGAAGAAAAAAAATGAATTTATAGAAAATTTTCAGATCTTTTGTTTTGAATATATAAAAATTGATTGTCAAAAAATATTACAAAACAATTAAATATGATAAAGAAAATTTTTGTTCAATTTAACACATTACATATACACATCACACACACACACACACACACACACACACACAATATATACAAGTTATTTATATTTGCATATATTTGCAATAAAATTTATGTATTTTTTTCAAATTTTTTCAATCTATATAAATAATTTGTTAGATCCATAAATAATATAAATTTTATAAATGGTTATTTTAAATTATAACTTTTCAATATCAATAAAATTTTTTGGAATATGAGAAATTGATAATACTTTATTCATACTTTTTTTTTAAATAAACAATATTTGTTTAATGATATAAATCTTATAAATATAAAATTTATAATTAGAAACAAGTTTCAAATATGGTTTCAATTTGAGAATAGATATTTATTTTTTATGGGAAAAAATATATTCAAAAAGAAAATTTTTAAATATTTTTCAGAAATTTAGAATTTTTTTAAAATTTAAATTCGAAATTTTAAAAGCATTTAAATTTACCTTGATTTTTTATACTTTTATTTATTTTAAATCACTTAGAATGGAAAAAGATAAAAAAAAATTTATGATATATATATATATATATATATATATATATATATATATATATATTTTATATATATATATATATAACGGTGATGTATTTGGTGGATTAAAAAGGAATACATTATTTGGATTCATTTGACCATTCAAATTTTTTGATTTTTACTTATATAAATTATATATATATATTATTTTAAATAATTTGAATTTTTATTCTTCTCAAAAATCTATTAGTTTTAAATACATTCAGACTGAATTTTAAATGAATAATATATCCATGCAAATTTGTTTAGGAAAACGACAACTTTGTATTGATTATTAAAGATTTCTATGGTAAAAAAACATTTAAAAATATATGATATTTTACTAAATAAATATATATAAGTGAATATATTTAAAAGTAATATGGATGAAAACGAATTGAGAAATTTTTATAATCAAATTTATTTTTATATTAAATCGAAAAAATATCGGTTTTATTTTATGATCAAATATCTTGATTCATGTCAGTTTTCGATTAATTTTTATAATATATATATATATATATATATATATATTCTTATATATATAAATTTCTTTTTGGCAAAAATGAATATTTATAAAATTTTAAATATTGAATACGACAAAAAAAAGAAACTTATATTAAATTTTTTTACAATTCCTCATACGAAATACAATATATTTATATTTTTTAATATATATATATATAAAAAATATATATATAAATAATTATTATAAGGAATTTTTTTGATCAAAAAATTTGTAAAAAATTTAATTTACATTGCATATTGACAAACATTTTAAATTTGAAAAGTAACTCACTGAAATATTTCTTGATTATGTTATCAATTTAGATCATCATTTAAATATTCATAAAAACCTTGATTATATTGATAGTTATATTTTTGACAACACAAATATATAATAGCATCATCTACATATAAAAAAAAAAGAATAAAAATAATGGAATATTTATTAATAAAAAAAAAAAAAAATTAACTTAATAATATTAACTTTGAACATGGACACAATATCTTGACCGTGTTTTGAAAAAAATGAAAACATTTTATAAAACATACATACAACAAACTATTTCTTATTTAACAGTTAAAATATTTAATCCTTGAAAATGGCTAAAATGTAAATAATTATAAATCGGATAAAAAGAATATTTGGACAGTTTTTATATAATTTATCATATAAAAAAAAAAAATTTATTAGATCGCATGAGAAATTGTATAAAAAAATAAAATAAAAATATATATGTCTGTCGTATTCAATGAAAAATATATATATATATATATATATATATATATATATATATATATATATATATATATATATATATATATATATATATATATATATATTTATATTTTTTTTTATAAAAATATAACATAATTTTATAAAATCACTACAAAAAATAAAAATTTTTTTCAACATAAATATGTTGTGTCTTATCAAGTGATGATGTTGAAAATAAAATAAATGGTTTTAAAAGTTTCAAATTAATTAACGATCCTTCACTAGGGAAAAAATTGTTACAAAAGCTAGAATGACCAATCAAAAACCAAGTATAGGAAGATTCAAAAAGCTTGACAACGAAATCATGTTATAATAGCTATTCAGATCTTTAAAATACGGGTAATATTAAAAAAGAATTTATTCTAACCAATAATTATTAAATTATATGATAAAATTTGATATTAAAATTAAAAACTGCCAATTTTAAAATCCAAATTTAATCACTATTAAGTTTAAAATTATAAAATTACTGAGGAGAAAAAAAAAATACATATGTTATTCAATTTATTTCTTCGTTGAAATTACGTTTAGAAAGACGCTACAAATATCCGGTCATTTGACAATACATGTATATATATTTTAATCCTAAATTATATTGAATGGGGTCTTAAACTCACGCGCAAAACAATAATTAATTTTTTAACATATTTATGTTATAATTTTTTAGAATATAAAATAATGATATAAATGAAAATAATATATTTATTTTGAAAATATATATATATATATATATATATATATATATATATATATATATATATGTATAAAAACTGAATTTACGTTTTATTTTTATTTATAAAATTAAGTTATTGATCATAAGGCAAATGATTGAAAATGTGGTGATGAAAATCTGATGAAAAAAAAAAGTGAAACTCAGTATTCACGAACTCATATCCATACCGTCAATATGTTAGCTTATCACCGATATTGAAAAATTTTAACTTAGTACTGCGCATATAAAATGAAGCAAGAAATTTGAGCGACATGACAAATTCCAAAAATCTATATTCAACTGTTAATAAATAGCATTTTTAAAAAAAAATTTCAGTTTAAACGTTATTTTTATATAAAATTGTTCGAAGATGACAATTAGAAATTGTCGATCTTTTTTTGACATGTGTTTTCCATCTGACAAACAACTCGAATATAATTGATCCCATTATTCAGGGAATTGATAGTAAGTTAATAAATCATTAAGTTCTGTTAGCTAAATAGAAAAGAAATTAATAATTTTAACATTGCTATTTAATTCTGTTTTGTATAAATTGTTTCTTGGATTTTCATTGTTTATAATTAAATCTATTTAAATTGAAGAAAAATTTTTTCGGTGCTGATTTCCAAAAATGAGATTGAAAATTTGC